ATAAAGGATATTATCCTTAATATATATATATATATATATATATATATATATATATATTACTTTCTGGTAAGAAAATATGTTTAAAGAATCATTTTTATATGAAATTAAATCAAATAAACGTGAACATCAGCTGTAAGAAAATGAGATATTCGTACTAAAAAGCAGGAGCATGACGGACAGAGGTACAGTATCTGGATGAGAGGTTCTATGAAGAGTTTCAGATGCATCCCCATGGTACAGAACTACTCCAACGTAAGCCCCGGAGGTCAGAGATCAACCCAACGACGACAGTACAACTTCACAGACACTAGTGAATGACTTAGCTGCAATTTGAAGGGGAAAAAAAAAAAAAAACTTCACTTCTTCTGGTGAGAAATATTTGAGGGCGACTGAAGGAAGCCAAAGAAAAATTGAAACAAAACTACATCGCACTGCCCCCAGTGAAGTACAGGTGGGAATATAATGCAGCAGAAAACACCGAAGTGCATCTGGAAATGGAAATCAGGGTAATAGAAAATATGCAAATCAATATGAGAAGAAAAAAAAATCAGCAGTCATTTCACCTTCAACAAAAGGGTGTAAGGCAATTTCAACAGTTGATATTTTTAAACTTGATATTTATTCTTTTCTGAAATAATTTTCTGTTTGTGAAACAATGAGCTTAACAATTATGTTGCATCTTAATAATTACGTTCAGAACAGCTTCTTAAAAACACCTATGAGAATTCTGTCTCTTCGAGAATAATGTTATCCTTAATAAACTAGAATTAGTCATATTATAGCTGTTCTGTTCCCACTGTTACAGACAATTAGTGCTAAACACACCAATCCCATTCCCTCTTGAAAACACACACAAAGAAGCAGTATTGGTGGACCTTTTTTTTTTTTTTTTTTTTTTTTTCACAGTGCATAATCTCACACTCACAATGAGCCATGTTGGCGAATGAAAGGAATTGCAGCAGCCAGTAATTTCCCTTTTCTCAATTAAAAAAAATTAAAACTCCCTTCAAGGTTCTCTCAGAGATGACCCCATGGAGAAACATGGCACGTATTCACAATAAAGACAGCGGAACCTTTCTTTCTCCACTGTGCTTCCCTGAGACAGAGACTCAAGCTACTGCACCAGTGGGCAAAATTCCCTTTATATCTCCGTTAAAAACAGCAAAAGGATTCCTCACAGTTTGCACCGAACGAATGAATCCAGGAGTGGGGTTGGCAGCTAAAATCTCAAGATAAAAATCCATAGTAAGTTAATCATTGGCTTTTCAAGTTTTTGCTGAGTAATACTGCATCTGTTTTTTTTTTGCATTTTGTGTCATTCATTGCAGGCAAATTTCCACAAAAGCCAAAAATGTCCAAAAAGCAGAAATAAAAATGATTGGCCTTGTCAACTAGCATAAAAACTTAAATATGCTTTATTTCAAAATCTGACATTGGCTTATTATTTTAAAGGTTCGATCCTGAAGTATGTGAAGAAAGAAGGCACAAATCGGAGCTGACATTTAAGGCAGATAAAGCTGGACAGGTGATATGTGGCAGCTCGCCGAGGATCTCCAACTGGGTCTACAGTTTAGGGATGGGCTTGGCTGCGACCGCAATGCTCTCGATGGCGCACTCGTCACTCCCTCTGCGGATTCTGAAGTAGCCGTCCTCTCCCCAGCCCGTGCCCCAGCTGTTCTTGACGATCCAGTACTTCTGCCCACACTTGGGGCAGCGGCCGTAGCCCACCAACAGCACAGCGTGGTTGGTCAGCTCGAAGGGGTTGAAGTTGTCTGCCAGACCAGTGTGGTGGTAGATGCCTTTCTTGTAGTGCATGAAGTCAGGATAGACCTAAATAAATAATTATTGTTTAATAATACCTCATTTTCAAAACCGTTGGCATTCTAGCTGTTGATTTGTTGAGGTAATCTGAAGAAATTTCGTCCCACGATTCCTGAAGTACTTCCTACAATTTTTCACCCCACGATTCCTGAAGTACTTCCTACAACTTTGATTGACTTGATGGGCACTTCTAGCGTACCACGAGGTCAACTTGACCTCAAGAACACCTTAATGGGGTTTAGATCTGTTGGCTAGTGATGTGCGGATCGATCCTGAAATATCGATACTTCCGATTTTGGATCTTTACGCTCTGAAATCGATTCTGAAATCAAAATATCGATACTTTTGATACTTGAGGTGTATCCTAAACAGAAACATGGTGAAAAGTATCCAAATGATTGAGATGTTGACGCTCGGTTGGTGGGACTACTTCTTCTTCCGCCTGGGTGTGTGTGCGTCATGCGTCACTATTGATGGGAATTTCGGCTCTTTTTTTTTAGAGAACCGGTTCTTTTGGCTCGGTTCACTGAAA